CAGAGGGTTAGAGTCCCAGTTAAATGACGTTTAACTGAAGTCCTAAAAGGGGTACAGGTTTTGTTGTTTTTGTCTTTTTTAATCTTTTTTTTTAATCTCTTTCTCTTCCTCACATGCTGTTTTTAATTTAATTATGTAAAGCACTTTGAAATGCCTTGCTGCTGAAATGTGCTATACAAATAAAATTTGATAGATTGATTGAATGATGTGACGCCAATCTTATCCACCGATATTAAAACTGCAGTCGGTGGACCCCTTGTTTTTAGTCCCCAACCTAATCACTAATGTCAAACCTTTTAAGGTCCATTCAAATAACTGCATTCTGACTTGTGAAGCATTCAGACAAAAGACAGAAATTAAACTCAAGTGATGAAGGTGAATTCATCACTTGGTGAGGAGCTGTTAGTTCCTCACCAGAGAACTAACAGCTGAACACTTGGTAGAGTAGATAATTAACTAATGGATGTCCTGATGATCTTTGCTTGACTTTAAGAGAAAAGTTCTAAAACTTAAGCAAAGTATGATGAAATTGACTTACTCTCAAACTAGACATATTATATTCTATTAAATTACTCTAAAATGTTTCAAAAGCTGGTCCTAAATAAATATATCCTGTAATTTAATCCACAGTTGATGTTGAGTTTCTTACAGGTAAATCGCCTTTTTGCCAGAAGCTTCTCCGCCGTCCCGTTCAGAACGAAGACTTGGAGGGAGTATTCCTGACTGGAGTCCAGTCCCGCCACTGTTGCTCGGCCTCGGGTGGTGGTCAGCATCAGCTCTGGTTGCTGCTCTTCTAGAAAAAAAATGAATGATTCATCAATCTGTATTCTGCTGTCCTTTCAATCCACAGTGAAAGCTGCTTAGTTCCTCGCAAAACTATTGACATCTCTTGAATGTTTTTACCTTCTGTCACATTGTCACAAATTTCAATGTAATTTGTTGTATTTAATGTAATAGGCCAACAAAAGGTTGGACGATATGGCTGAAAATGTATCACAATATAAAAGCCTTTCAAATTAGCCGATATCGATAATTGTCAATATTGATAATGATTGATTAGTTTTATGTTTTAAATATCTGAAATACTGCCAATCGTGACCTTCCCTGTTTTATTCGCAGTTTTCACTTCACACCGTTATTTATTTTTAAGCAGTTAGCC